TCTCGGATTTTTCCCCCCATTCCCCTTTTTTCCCCCCCCACTCCCGGTTTATTCCCCCCACTCCCGGTTTATTCCCCCCATTCCCGGTTTATTCCCCTCCCCATTCCCGGTGTTTCCCCCCTTCCCGGTGTTTTTCCCCATGGAGCTCCCCTCGCTCTGAGCCCCGCGATGCTCCGCGCCCCGCGGGCTGCGGCTCCGGGGTGGTCGCTCCTCCTTCCTCCCCCTCCTCCTCCTCCTCCTCCTCCTCCTCCTCGCCGCTCCGGCCGCTGATTCCCGCTCCGAGCCGAGCCGGGCCGAGCCAATTCCCGGGAAAACAAGCCCAGCCCGCGCGGATGGAGCGGGAGCGGGGCCGCTCGCGGCTGCCCTCGCTGCTCCTGGCGCTGCTGGGGCTCGGCCCAGGTGAGTGGGGGGCGACCCCCGAGCCGCGGGACCCCCGGGGGGCTCGGGGCCGGACCCCCGCTCCCTGGAAAGCTCTGGAATTCCGCATCCAGCGCCTCGGGCTCCCCCACCCCTCCCCACGCGGATTTTTGGTTTGTTTTTTTTTTATTTTATTTTTATTGGGAGGGCTGCGATTTTTTTTTTTTTTTTTTTTCCCCTCCCCGGGGTCGGGAAGCGGCTCCTTACGTAAAGCCGGGAGCGGGATCCCCTCGGAATTCCCAAAGATTCCAGAATTGCCGTAAATCCCCTGCGGGAGCATTCCTGCGGGAAAGCGTCCGCTCGGACAGGCAGCTTTAATTACGGGGTTCATTTGCCGCGGGGATTAATTGGCCTGGCGGGGCCGGGCGGCGATGGTGCCGCCAGGTGATGCTCCAAAAAAACCAGCCCGGAAAGGTGGGAAAAGCCAGAATTCCCGGGATTTGGAGCGTGGGAAGCGAGGAGAAGCAGAGCCCGGCTCGGGGGGGTTAAAAGCGAGGCTGGAGTTGCTTTTTGGGGGGATTTTCGGAGGTTTGGGGCGGATTGGGAGCAGGGATGGATCCCGCTCTTCCTCCTCCCTCCTCTCCGCGCTGCGGGAGAGCCTCGTGCTCCCGAAAAAAACCAAAATCTGGGATAAACAGGCTGAGCCGGGGCGGCGCTTGGCGCGGGAGGGGCCGAGCATCCCCCCCGCTCCTCCCGGCCCCGAATCCCGGCGTGGAAAAAGGGGAAAAAAATCCCGGGAAAAGCTCAGGGAGCCCCCGGGGGGCTGCAAACCCTGGGAGGAAATGGGGGGGATGGAGACCACTCCGGGGGGGAGCGGATCTTGGGATTCGGGAGAGGGTTTTGGAATTCCGGGGGGTTTTGGAATTCCGGGGGGTTTTGGGAAGCCCCTCCCCAGCCCCCCCCCAGGAGAAAGGAAAGGAGAAAGGAAAGGAAAAGGAGGGAAGGAAAAGGAGGGAGGGAAGGATTCCGGCACCTCCTTCCCCAAACGCCCTCCAGCCCCCCGGAGCGGCCGGGGGGGCTCTGGAATTGCGGGAATTCTCTTTTCCCGGTGTGTTTTCCCCGGGCTCTGCTCCGGGGTCGGGGGTCAGCGCAGCCCCCGCCATCTCTGCGCGCTCCGCCCGCTCCGCTCCCGCGTTCCCGGCGCTTTCCCCCCCATTCCCGCATTTTCCTCATGGAATTCCGGGGGGTTTTGGAATTCCGGGGGTTTTTGGGAAGCCCCTCCCCAGCCCCCCCCCTTGCTCTCAGCATCCCCCCCCGGGGTCTGGGGGTGCTTCACCCCCCGAAAAACTTCACCGAGCGCTCAAAAATTCCCTCGGTTTTAAAGTCGGGGTGGAAAAGCAGGGATGAAACCTGGGAAAAGCGGGAATGAAACCCGGGAAAAGCGGGAATGAAACCCGGGAAAAGCAGGGATGAAACTCAGGAAAAGCAGGAATGAAACCTGGGAAAAGCAGGAATCAAATCCTGGAAAAGCAGAAATCAATCCTGGGATGAGCAGGGATGAAACTCAGGAAAAGCAGGAATGAAACTCAGGAAAAGCAGGAATTAAACCTGGGAAAAGCAGGAATCAAACCTGGGAAAAGCAGGAATCAAATCCTGGAAAAGCAGGAATAAGACCGGGGGAAAGCAGGAATCAAACTCGGAAAAAGTGGGAATGAAACCCGGGATGAGCAGGAATCAAATCCTGGAAAAGCAGAAATCAATCCTGGGATGAGCAGGAATGAAACTCAGGAAAAGCGGGAATTAAACCTGGGAAAAGCGGGAATTAAACCTGGGAAAAGCAGGAATGAAACTCAGGAAAAGCAGGAATGAAACCTGGGAAAAGCGGAAATGAAACCTGGGAAAAGCAGGAATGAAACTCAGGAAAAGCAGGAATTAAACCTGGGAAAAGCGGGAATTAAACCTGGGAAAAGCGGGAATTAAACCTGGGAAAAGCGGGAATTAAACCTGGGAAGAGCAGGAATGAAACTCAGGAAAAGCAGGAATGAAACCTGGGAAAAGCGGGAATGAAACCTGGGAAAAGCAGGAATGAAACCCGGGCCAAACGGGAACGGCACCGAGCGCCGCCCGGGTTTAACCCCGATTTACCCGGGACGAGGACCGGGAGGGGACACCGGGAATGTCCCCAGGGCGGGAGGGACCCGTCCCATGGCAGCGGGTGCAGCCGCTGGTCCCGAAATTCCCGAATTCCCGAAATAATTCCCGGAGCTGGCGGTGCCAGGGACGCGGGGGTGGCGCAGGTGACAGCTTGGCGGGGGGAGGGCGCTGCCAGGAGCGGGGGAGGCGGCGCCGAGCGGAATTTTTCCAGGGAAAAGCCAAAAAAAAAAAGGAAAAAAAAATATAAATCCCCAAATGGAATCTCAGAAGCTTCCCCTGGGGCTGGGACCAGGCCCCGTCCCGGGGGGAATCAGAATCCCAAAATTTCGGGGTTTTATCCCTGCCTGGAGCTGCCCAGAGGCTCCTGGGAGCAGGAATTGGGCAAAATTCTGCCCCCCAAAAACCCAAATTTTGCAGAAATTCTGCCCCAAAACCCCGCAAATTTGCAGAAATTCTGTCCCAAAAAACCCCCAGTTTTGCAGAAATTCTACCCCAAATAAACTCCATTTTTATGGGAATTCTACTCCCCCAGAAAACCCAAATTTTGCAGAAATTCTACCCAAAAAAAAACAATTTTGCAGAAATTCTGCCCCAAAACCCCGCAAATTTGCAGAAATTCTGTCCCCAAAAAAACCCCAAATTTTGCAGAAATTCTACCCAAAAAAGCCCAAATTTTGCAGAAATTCTGCCCCAAAACCCCGTTCTCGGTTTTCCGCAGGGCTCTTGCAGGAGGCGCGTTTTGAGGCAGAAAATGAGGTTTTGGAGATTGTGGCTGGGAATTCCACCCAGTCTCTCCTGGAGCGTTGTTCTGGTGAGAGCCCCGAGTTCAGATGGGGCCGCATCTGAACCTGTAGTTTTTAGCTTTTGACCTTTTTGGCCGATTTTTCCCCCAAAACCTCTGCCTTCCCCTCTCTTTTTTTGGAGGCTCAGACACCTCGCATTTGTTCGTTCGCTTTTTTCGCCGATTTTCCCCCAAAATTTCTGCTTTTCCCTCTCTTTTTGGCAACTCCCGCTCCAAACCCGCAAGAGTTCCCCTTTTGAATTCCCCTTTTCAGCCGCTTTTCCCCCAAAATTTCCTTCTCTTTTGGGAGGAAATTCCTCTCCCGGGATTGATTCACCATTTTGGCCGCTTTTTGCCCCAAAATTTCTGCTTTTCCTTCTTTTTTCGACGACACCAACGGCTCCCAACGCGGCCAAGGCCGCTGCCAGGATGCTCCTCTTCCTCCTCTTCCTCCCCAGACGTCCCCAAATGTCCCCAAATGACCCCAAAATGGCCTCAAATGGCTCCAAATGTCCCCAAATGACCCCAAAATGGCTCCAAATGTCCCCAAACACACTCAAAATGCTCTCCAGGCGTCCTAAAAACGTCCCCAAACGTCCCCGGTTGTCCCCAAACCCCTGTGGTGACATTTTTGTGTCCCAGAGCTGCTCTTCAGCCAATCCCGGGCGGGTGGACGCTGTCCTGGGTGGCCTCGTGCTGCTGTCACCCCCAGCAAGGAAGTCCCCAGATGTCCCCAGGTGTCCCCAGGTGTCCCCAAGCGTCCCCAGATCCTCTCAGGTGACATTTTTGGGTGGCAGAGCTGGTGTTTGGTCACCTCTGGGCAGGTAAACGCTGTCCTGGGTGGCCTCGTGCTGCTGTCATCTCCAACAAAACGGTCCCCAGATGTCCCCAGGTGTCCCCAGGTGTCCCCAGGTGTCCCCAGATGTCCCCAGGTGTCCCCAAGCCCTCTCAGGTTCCATTTTCCTGTCACAGAGCTGCTCTTCGGGCAGTCCCAGGCAGGTTTACAGCGTCCTGGGCAGATGAACGCTGTCCTGGGTGGCCTCGTGCTGCTGTCACCTCCAACAAGGAGGTCCCCAGGTGTCCCCAACTGTCCCCAGACCCTCTCAGGTGACATTTTTGGGTGGCAGAGCTGGTGTTTGGTCACCTCTGGGCAGGTAAACGCTGTCCTGGGTGGCCTCGTGCTGCTGTCACCTCCAACAAGGAGGTCCCCAGATGTCCCCAGGTGTCCCCAGATGTCCCCAAGTATCCCCAAACTGTCTCAGGTTCCATTTTCCTGTCACAGAGCTGCTCTTCGGGCAGTCCCAGGCAGGTTTACAGTGCCCTGGGCAGCTCTCTGCTGCTGTCACCTCCAACAAGGAGGTCCCCAGGTGTCCCCAGGTGTCCCCAAACTGTCTCAGGTGCCATTTCTGTGTCACAGAGCTGCTCTTCGGGCAGTCCCGCGCCCCGCCCCGGCAGGTCCACGGCGTGCTGGGCGGCTCGGTGCTGCTGTCACCTCCAACAAGGAGGTCCCCAGGTGTCCCCAGGTGTCCCCAGGTGTCCCCAGGTGTCCCCACGCCCTCTCAGGTTCCATTTTCCTGTCACAGAGCTGCTCTTCGGGCAGTCCCGTGCCCCGCCCCGGCAGGTCCACGGCGTGCTCGGCTCCCCAGGTGTCCCCAGGTGTCCCCAGGTGTCCCCAGGTGTCCCCAAGCCCTCTCAGGTTCCATTTCTGTGTCACAGAGCTGCTCTTTGGGCAGGTTTACGGTGTCCTGGGTGGCTCTGTGCTGCTGTCACCGGCACTGCCACCAAACCAGACCGTCCCCAAATGTCCCCAGGTGTCCCCAGGTGTCCCCAGGTGTCCCCACGCCCTCTCAGGTTCCATTTTCCTGTCACAGAGCTGCTCTTCGGGCAGTCCCGTGCCCCGCCCCGGCAGGTCCACGGCGTGCTCGGCGGTTCGGTGCTGCTGTCGCCGGCGCTGCTGCCCAACCAGACGGTGAAGGAGATCGAGTGGAGCTTCTCGGGCGGCACCGGCGCCACCATCCAGGTGGCCGAGGTGGGCCCGGGCGGCTTCGAGCGGCCGGACCCGCGGGACCGCTTCGGCCGGCGCCTGGAGCGGGCCGACGGCACGGCGCTGCGGCTGCGGCAGCTCCAGCGCGGCGACAGCGGCGTCTTCGCCGCCAGGATCAAACTGCAGCCAGCGCTGGTGGAGGACCAGGCCTTCAACCTGACCGTCTACGGTGAGGGGGACTCGGTTTGTTAATTAATTCATTAATTAGTGCGGTATTCATTGGATTAAGTGGGGGGTTTGGGTGGGGAAACTGAGGCATGGAGGAGGATTGGGGTTTTGGGTGGGGAAACTGAGGCACGGAGCACCAGTGTGCACAAACCACGGGGTGTTGGGCAGTGCTGGTGGAGGACCAGGCCTTCAACCAGACTGTCTACGGTGAGGGGGACTCGGTTTGTTAATTAATTCATTAATTAGTGCGGTATTCATTGGATTAAGTGGGGGGTTTGGGTGGGGAAACTGAGGCATGGAGGAGGATTGGGGTTTTGGGTGGGGAAACTGAGGCACGGAGCACCAGTGTGCACAAACCACGGGGTGTTGGGCAGTGCTGGTGGAGGACCAGGCCTTCAACCAGACTGTCTACGGTGAGGGGGACTCGGTTTGTTAATTAATTCATTAATTAGTGCGGTATTCATTGGATTAAGTGGGGGGTTTGGGTGGGGAAACTGAGGCATGGAGGAGGATTGGGGTTTTGGGTGGGGAAACTGAGGCACAGAGCACCAGTGTGCACAAACCATGGGGTTTTGGGCAGTGCTAGTGGAGGACCAGGCCTTCAACCTGACCATCTACGGTGAGGGGGACTCGGTTTGTTAATTAATTCATTAATTAGTGCGGTATTCATTGGATTAAATGGGGGTTTGGGTGGGGAAACTGAGGCACGGAGCACAAATTTTTGGGGTTTCTTTTGCGATTTTGGTGCCAGCCCAGTGACACCCGCAGAGGCCGTGCCTCGGGGAGGTTTCAGGGAGTTTTTTTGGGATTTTTTTGGGGATTTTTGGTGCCACCCCGGTGTCACCCGTGCCACCCGCAGAGGCCGTGCCTCGGGGGGGTTTTGGGGAGGTTTTTTGGGGATTTTTGGGGGGATTTTGGTGTGACCGTGCCACCTGCAGAGGCCGTGCCTCGGGGAGGTTTCAGGGAGTTTTTTTGGGATTTTTTTGGGGATTTTTGGTGCCACCCCGGTGTCACCCGTGCCACCCGCAGAGGCCGTGCCTCGGGGAGGTTTTTTTGGGATTTTTTTTGGGATTCTTTTGGGGATTTTGGTGCCACCCCGGTGTCACCCGTGCCACCCGCAGAGGCCGTGCCTCGGGGGGGTTTCGGGGAGTTTTTTTGGGGCTTTTTTTGGGATTTTTGGTGCCACCCCGGTGTCACCCGTGCCACCCGCAGAGGCCGTGCCTCGGGGGGGTTTCGGGGAGGTTTTTTGGGGCTGTTTTTGGGATTTTTGGTGCCACCCCGGTGTCACCCGTGCCACCCGCAGAGGCCGTGCCCAGCCCGCGGACCCGCAGCCAGCTGCTGGCCAGCACGCTCGAGTGGTGCAACCTGACCCTGCAGTGCCAGGGCAGCGGGCGCGGCGCCGTCAATGTCACCTGGCGGCGCGACAGCCTCACCTGGGGCGAGCTGGGCCCCGGGCGCCACCAGCTGTCCCCGGACGGCACCACCCTGCGCGTGGCGCTGCCACCCGCCGCCACCAATGTCACCTACGCCTGCACCGTCAGCAACCCCGCCGACCACAAGGTCGCCCTGTTCGACCTGCAGAGCCTGTGCCAGGGCGGAGGTGAGGGGACAGCGCGGGGACAGCGCGGGGACAGCGCGGGGACAGGGCTGGGACAGCGCGGGGACAGGGCTGGGACAACGCGGGGACAGCGCGGGGACAGCGCGGGGACAGCGCGGGGACAGAGCTGGGAAAGCGCGGGGACAACGCGGGGACAGCGCGGGGACAGGGCTGGGACAGGGCAGGGACAGCGCGGGGACAGCGCGGGGACAACGCGGGGACAGGGCTGGGTGGCACGGCCAAGGGACAGAGCTGGGGGTGGCACAGGTGGGGTGGCTCAGCTGAGGGTGGCATGGCCAAGGTGACACGGCCAGGGTGACACAGCTGGGGTGGCACAGCCAAAGTGACACAGCTGGGGGTGGCACAGGTAGGGTGGCATGGCCAAGGTGACACGGCCAGGGTGACACAGCTGGGGTGGCATGGCCAAGGTGGCACAGCCGAGGTAGCATGGCCAGGGTGACACAGATGAGGGTGGCATGGCTGGGGTGGCACAGCTGGGGTGACACAGATGAGGGTGACACAGCTGGGGTGACACACCGGGGTGACACGGCCAGGGTGACACAACCAGGGTGACACACCTGGGGTGGCACGGCCAGGGTGACACGGCCAGGGTGGCACACCGGGGTGGCACGGTGTCGCTGTCCCCGGTGCCGCAGGGGGACACTCGGCCTTCTCCACCTCGGGCTACGTGGTGCTGTCGCTCATCCTGGTGGCCGTGAGCCTGGGCGGCGCCTTCTGGTGCTGGAGGGTCAACAGCGAGAAGGCGGCGGAGGCAGGTGGGCAAAACCCCAAACACAGCCCCAAACCCAAATCCAAATCCCAAATCCCAACCCCAAACCCAAACACAACCCCAAACACAACCCAAACACAACCCCAAACCCAAACCCAAATCCAAATCCCAAACCCAAACCCAAACCCAAATCCCAAATCCCCAAACCCAAATCCCAAACCCAAACCCAAATTCCCAAACCCAAATCCAAACCCAAATCCCTAACCCAAATCCCAAGTCCCAAACACAAATCCCAAATCCAAATCCCAAATCCAAATCCCAAACCCAAATCCAAATCCAAATCCCCAATCCAAATCCCCAATCCCAAATCCAATCCCAATTCCCAACTCCCAAATCCAATCCCAAATCCCAAATCGAAATCCAAATCCCCAATCCAAATCCCCAATCCCAAATCCCAACCCTCGATTCCCAAATCCCAACTCCCAACTCCCCAATTCCCAACTCCCAATCCCTAATTCCCCAATTCCCAACTCCCAATTGCTAATTCCCCAATTCCCAAATCCCAATTCCCAACTCCCAAATCCCATTTCCCCAGCTCCCAACTCCACAAATCCCATCTCCCAAATCCCCAATTCTCAACTCCCAATCCCCAGTCTCCAATTCCCAAATCCCCAATTCCCAACTCCCAATTCCCAACTCCCCTATTCCCAGCTTTTCCCATTTTTCCCCATTTTTTCCCATTTCCCCCCGTTTTTGCCCCGTTTCCCCGCAGCCGCCACGCCCACGGCGCCGCCCGAGGAGAGCCCCGGGGAGCCCCAGTACAGCGACATCGTCTGCAGGAGCCCCCCCGAGGGCAACGACCAGGTGGGGACCCCACACCCCGGGGGGGACCCCAAAAACTGCGGGAATCCCCAAAAAACCTGCGGGAAACAAAAAAAAACCTGCGGGAAACCCAAAAAAAACCTGCAGGAAACCCAAAAAAACCCCACGGGAAATCATAAAAATCACAGGAATCCCAAAAAACCGCGGGAGTCCTAAAAAACCACAGGAATCCCAAAAGCCACAGGAGTCCCCAAAAACCAAGAGGGGTCCCCAAAAACGGGGGAGGTCCCGAAAAGCCACGGGAATCCCAAAAAAACATGGGAAATCCCAAAAACCGTGAGGGTCCCCAAAAACCGCGGGGGGAGAATGGGGAGAGTTCCCAAAAAAAATCAGAGTCCCAAAAAACCCTGGGGGAGTCCCCAAAAAACTGCAGGAATCCCAAAACCACGAGAATCCCAAAAACCGCGGGAACCCCAAAACCTCGGGAACCCCAAAACCACGAGAATCCCCAAAACCATAAAGCCCCAAAACCTCACGAATCCCAAAAACCGCTGGGGGATCCCCACAAAAAACTGCAGGAATCCCAAAAACCACGGGGACCCCAAAACCTCGGGAACCCCAAAACCACGAGAATCCCCAAAACCATAAAGCCCCAAAACCTCACGAATCCCAAAAACCGCTGGGGGATCCCCACAAAAAACTGCAGGAATCCCAAAAACCACGGGGACCCCAAAACCTCGGGAACCCCAAAACCACGAGAATCCCCAAAACCATAAAGCCCCAAAACCTCACGAATCCCAAAAACCGCTGGGGGATCCCCACAAAAAACACAGGAATCCCAAAAACCACGGGGACCCCAAAACCTCGGGAACCCCAAAACCACGAGAATCCCCAAAACCATAAAGCCCCAAAACCTCAGGAATCCCAAAAACCACTGGGGGACCCCAAAAAGCGAGGGGGGACCCCAAATGTCGCCCCGCAGGGCCCCAGCCCCCCCGAGGCCCCCCAGGAGCCCAGCGAACCCCAAAAAGTCGAGCCTGAGGCCCCAAAATCCCCCCCGGGGGGCGGCGAGCAGAAAGGCCCCGAGGACACGGCCGAGGAGGTGACATAGGGCCACAGGTGAGGGGACCCCAAAAGCGGGACACGCGGGGAGACCCCCACCCCAAAACAGCCGGGGGAACGGGGACAGGCCTAAAGGGGATTCGGGGGAGGGGCGAACCCCAAAAAGGGGGATTTGGGGGATGCCAAAAACCCGGTGTTAAAGGGTTTGGGGTGTCCCCAAAAAGGGAGATTTGGGGGACCCCAAAAACCCAGGGTTAAAGGGTTTGGGGTGTCCCCAGGAAGGGAGATTTGGGGAACCCCAAAAACCTGGTGTTAAAGGGTTTGGGGTGTCCCCCAAAAGGGACATTTGGGGGACCCCAAAAGAGTGAGGGATGAAGGGTTGGGGTGTCCCCCAAAAGGGACATTTGGGGGACCCCAAAAGAGCGAGGGATGAAGGGTTGGGGTGTCCCCAAAATGGGATATTTGGGGGATCCCAAAAACCCGGTGTTAAAGGGTTTGGGGTGTCCCCAAAAAGGGAGATTTGGGGGACCCCAAAAACCCAGGGTTAAAGGGCTTGGGGTGTCCCCAGAAAGGGAGATTTGGGGGATCCCAAAAACCCGGTGTTAAAGGGTTTGGGGTGTCCCCAAAAAGGGAGATTTGGGGGACCCCAAAAACCTGGTGTTAAAGGGTTTGGGGTGTCCCCAAAAAGGGAGATTTGGGGGACCCCAAAAACCTGGTGTTAAAGGGTTTGGGGTGTCCCCAAAAAGGGAGATTTGGGGGATGCCAAAAGAGCGAGGGATGAAGGGTTGGGGTGTCCCCAAAAAGAGCTGGGGTTAAAGGGGTGTCCCCAAAAAGGGACATTTGGGGGACCCCAAAAACCCGGCGTTAAAGGGCTTGGGGTGTCCCCAAAAAGGGACATTTGGGGGACCCCAAAAACCGGGCGTTAAAGGGCTTGGGGTGTCCCCAAAAGGGACATTTGGGGGACCCCAAAAACCCGGGGTTAAAGGGTTTGGGGTGTCCCCTAAAAGGGACAATTAGGGGACCCCAAAAGAACCGGGGTTAAAGAGGTTTTTGGGGAGGGGCTAACCCCAAAAAGGGACATTTAGAGAACCCCAAAAAAGCGAGGGATAAAGAGTTGGGGCTGTCCCCAAAAAGGGACGTTTAGGGAACCCCAAAAAACCTGGGGTTAAAGGGTGGGGGTGTCCCCAAAAGAGCGGGGGTTAAAGGGGTTTTTGGGGAGGGGCTAACCCCAAAAAGGGACATTTGGGGACACCCCAGACCCCAAAAGAGTGGAGTTAAAGGGTTGGGGAGGGGAAATGACCCCAAAAAGGGAATTGAAGGGTTGGGAACGGCCCCAAAAAGGGATGAAAGGGTCGGGAACGGCCCCAAAAAGGGAATTATAGGGTTGGGGGAATGGCCCCAAAAAGGGGATTGGATGTTGGGAATGGCCCCAAAAAGGGGATTGGATGTTGGGAATGGCCCCAAAAAGGGGATGAAAGGGTTGAGAATGGCCCCAAAAAGAGGATTGAATGTTGGGGAGGGGGAACAGCCCCAAAAAAGGGGATTGAGGGGTTGGGGGGGGGATCGGCCCCAAAAAGGGGATTGAAGGGTTGGGGAGGGGGAACGGCCCCAAAAAGGGGATTGAAGGGTTGGGAATGGCCCCAAAAAGGGGATTGGATGTTGGGGCGGGGCTGCCCCAAAACCAGGACCGGTGCCGGGGTCTCCTCCCTTGGGGGACCCCGGGGTCTCCTCCCTTGGGGGACCCCGGCCCCACAGCCAGGGGGTGTCCCCGCAGGGCCCCGGGACCCCCTGGAAGGGCTGTGCCGCGTGCCAAGCCCCGACCCCAAACCCAGCGCGGGAGCCCCGACCCCACGGCCCGACGGATTTCCCCTTTTCTGCCCCAAAACCCTCGGCTCTGCCCCCGAACCCCTGCCCGGCACCGCGCTGGGGAGGGGGATCCCCGTCAGGGGGGGGTTTGGGGGTCCCTGGGGGGTTTGGGGGTCCCTGGGTGCTCCCCGCATGTTTTGGGGTGGGATGATCCCCTCGGCCCCGCAACTGGACGGATTTCCCCTTTTCTGACCCCAAAACCCTCGGGTTTGTCCCCAGTTCCCTGCCTGGGACTGTTTTGGGGAGGGGGGATCCCCATCAGAGGCAGCAGGGAGGGGATTTGGGGGGTCCCTGGGGGTTTTGGGGTGGGAGGATCCCCCTGACCCTACAAAGAAACTGATTTCCTCTTTTCTGCCCCAAAATCCTTGGGTTTGACCCCAATTCCCTGCCTGGGACTGTTCTGGGGAGGGGGCTCCTGATCAGGGGTGATGAAACCAGAATTTGGGGGTCCCTGAGGCTTCCCAGGGGGGTTTTGGGGTGGGAGGATCCCCCTGACCCCACAAAGGGACGGATTTCCCCTTTTCTGCCCCAAAATCCTCGGGTTTGTCCCCAATTCCCCTGCCTGGGACTGTTCTGGGGAGGGGGCTCCAAGGCGGAGGTTTTGGGGGGGTCGCTGGTTTTGGGGTGGTTCAGGCTGGTTTGGGCTGGTTTGGACTGGTTCAGGGTGGGTTTGGGCCATTTTTGGGTGGTTCAGAGAGATTTGGGGTGTTCTGGGGTGGTTTGGGGTGATTTGGGGCCTGGTTTCGGCCCTGGGTTTGATTCTATTTTGGGGCTGATTTTGGGGTGTTTGGGGTATTTTGGGATGTTCTGGGGCTGGTTTTGGGTATTTTGGGTTATTTTAGGGAGTATTTTGGGCCTGTTCTGGCCCCGGCTTTGGGGTGTCCTGGGGCTGGTTTTGGGTATTTTGGGTTATTTTAGGGAGTATTTTGGGCCTGTTCTGGCCCCGGCTTTGGGGTGTTTTGGGGTGTCCTGGGGCTGGTTTTGGGGTGTTTTGGGGTGTCCTGGGGCTGGTTTTGGGGTGTTTTGGGGTGTCCTGGGGCTGGTTTTGGGGTGTCCTGGGGCTGGTTTTGGGGTGTTTTGGGGCACTTTAGGGAGTATTTGGGGCCCGCTTTGGCCCCACTTTGGGGCTGCTTTTTGGGCTGATTTTCGGGGTATTTGGGTCTGGTTTCTCTGTTCATTGTGCTTTTTGCCCCTCTCGGCCCCATTTATCCCAGTTTTTCTCCATTTATCCTGGTTTTTCTCTGTTTATCCCAGTTTTTGCCCCGTTTATCGCGGGTTTTGTCCCTTTTATCCCCGTTTATCCCGGTTTTTGCCCCATTTATCCCGGTTTTTGCCCGTTTTTGCCCCATTTTGCCCCCTTTATCCCAGTTTTTGCCCCGCTTATCCCGGTTTTTGCCCCGTTTATCCCAGTTTTTGCCCCGTTTATCGCGGGTTTTGCCCCATTTATCCCCGTTTATCCCGGTTTTTGCCCGTTTATCCCCGTTTTTGCCCCGTTTATCCCGGTTTATCCCCGTTTTGCCCCGTTTTACCCCGGTTTTTGCCCCGTTTTACCCTGTTTATGCCGGTTTGTGCCCCATTTTGCCCCGTTTATCCCGGTTTTTGCCGGTTTATCCCGGTTTTTGCCCCGTTTTGCCCCGTTTATCCCGGTTTTTGCCCGTTTATCCCGGTTTTTGCCCCGTTTTGCCCCGTTTATCCCGGTTTTTGCCCGTTTATCCCGGTTTTTGCCCCGTTTATCCCGGCCGCTGTTTATGAGGGGAGGGGGCGTTTCCCGCGCGCGCTCCCGCGCCCCCTCCCCTCCCCTCCCCGCCAGGACCGGAAGCGGAAGCGCGTGGGCGCGCGCGCTGCCCGGAAGCGCGTGGGCGGCGGCGGCGGTTCCGGTTCCGGCGGCGGCGGCGGCGGCGGCGCGGGGGAGGCACCGGGAGGAGGAGAAGGAGAGGAAGGAGAAGAAGAACAAGAAGAAGGAAAAGAAAAAGAAGAAGAAGCGGCGGCGCCACCGACAAACAGCAACAGCGGGGCGAGCAACGAAAAGCCGAGCCGCCTCCGCGCTACCGGGAACGATCCGCACCCCCCCCTCCCTCCCCGCTCCCCGCCCGCCTCCTTCCCCGTTTCCCCCCTCCCTTCCCGTCCTCCTCCTCCTCCTCCTTCTCCCGGAACCCGCCTCGCTCCTCGGGCCCGCGCCGCCCCCGCAGGTGCGTCCCGGGGGATGCGGGGTCGGGATTACCGGGAGGCACCGGAGCGTTAGACTGCAGG